AGCACGTTATTTTGGGACCTTCTAGTCTTAGAGTTAAACGCTGTCCAGACTGGAGAGTTATAACATGTTATAACGGTTGTCAACTAATTGCAACACAGAAACCACCATCAAGATAGCGCTATAACATGTTATAACTCTGTAGTCTGAACGTACTATTACCTCTATGGTTATAACATGTTATATTTCTGTAGTCTGAATGTGGTATTAAGGAATAGTTTCAATGCCATTATGATTTAAACATTTACGGTTATCACGGTGCTTTATGCTCTCGAAACACGGCGATTAAGATTTGGAAGAGCTTGGGAATAAACCCATGATTTTATCACAGACAAATAGACGTAACTCTTCATTCTGGATCATCGTTTGCGCATTTAACGATTAGTCTGAATGTTATCGTTTCCGCGAACTACTCGTCGCAGCGCTGGCATCGGATCACTTTGACGTTTCTACATATTCGGTTTTTCTTGCACGCAACATTGTTTGCGAATCAGCGAGCCAGCTTGTTTTCCGAGAGAAGCCCGCGAGATGTCGTTACTGAAGTCCTATGTTTGGCGAAACTATGTTTTGAAGATAATTTTATTCAAAGACTTACGTCTGTTTGTCTGTGATTTTATGCTCAGTAAGCAAAAATGATCCCTCGGAGTTATCGAGCATCTCAGCCCCTCACCAGCTGAAGTTCTGTTTAATTCAAACGCCGCAAGCAGAAAACAACGAAGTATCGCTAAAGGCAAAAAACAACAACAACAACAAATCTCTTTCTAATTTTTTACTAACAGGTGTTCAATAAAAAATGAGAATTTTTTCAGTCATATAGCCAGCAGAAAAAAAAAAATTTTCGACGAATTCAGTATTGTTTTTATTAAAAACATAATGTTTATTCTTAAAAAAAAACGTCAATGAATATTGGAGAAGAGGCCCTGATCAGCTGTCGTTAGTCGCGATGCTCTCACAAGAGCGCTGGACGGCACTGAAATCATTCTCTTTTTTTATTGAACACCCATTACCTTAAGAAATTCGAATTAAATCCATCCCATTGCATCAATATAGGTTAGGCCTATGATTTAAACTCATTCAAGAGTAAGAATATTAATATTCTACGCAATGAATAAAGGCTACTCGTCGTTCAGTCGAGCAGCTGGGTTAAAATAACCTCCACGTCACAATTTTTCCTCACTTACTCACAGCTGAGTAAAATCAGTTTACTCACTCAATGCGTTCCTGCACTTTTGCCCAATCTGAGTGAACGAAACGCAAATTTGGGTTACTGTCATTGGTAAATCAAAGTTGCCACTCGTGGAGAATAGACGAACTATGAAAGTGATGATGGTTTCAAAATTTTCCACGGACAGGTATACGAGTGCAATCTTAAAATGCTTTTATTTTGAAAACTGAGCATTGAATTTAAATCTGGTTGTTGCTACAGTTGTAGAAAAGCTGAAATCTATGCATACACCTAAAAATCTGAAAAGAAATTATTTTTTCTATATTATATATCTACTGAGTAGTCCTTAAGTTTTCTACTAACGTAGCACTAACCAGATTTAAATAAAATGCTCCATTTGCAAAATAAAGGCATTTTAAGATTGAACTCGTATACCTCACCGTGTAAAATTTTGAAACCATCATCACTTTCATAGTTCATCTATTCTCCACGAGTGCCAACTTTGATTTGCCAATTGGCCGTGTACTACTTGCAGACTTCATCAGTGCCAAGTAACTACTCAAGCTCAAGCTCATTCACTCAAAAAATTCCACACGTCATCATCATGTGTCTCACACTTAATTTTGCGCTTATTGTGAAACACATCCATTTCATGCGTGAATCTTATGCTATGAATCATGCCTGAACACTAGGGATTTGAATTGTGACACACTTGGATTCTATGTGCCTCATTTGGTGATATCAATAGCTTAACACATAATAGTTCAATATTCTACAATATTCTGCTTTATCGACTCTAAAAATGAATCGACAAATATATAAACAAAACTGCCAGAGGCCAGAGCTTTCACATATCTTCTTAATGGGTCTGATTTGGGATTCAATCATGGACTGTTGGGGTGTGCTGCTGCTGGAGTCTTCGTTCGATCTCACTGTGCCACGGTTGTTCTCATATATGAGGCGGATGATAGGATAAAGTCACAACTCTTGTTTTCGATGTTTACCTTTCTGAGCAAGCAATTCACATCGCATTGAAATGCAAAACACATTAAATCCATCTATTTTGAACAGTAGTGTGATTCAATGTGAAATACACTTGAATAGATAGTGAAAGATTTTCAACATTTCAAAATTTGAAACATTATAAATTAACGTGTATAACACATTGAACCAAGGTGAAATACACTTAAAGGAAATGTGATTGTGCATATAAAAAATCAAGTGTTTAAACACTTCGATCAAACGTGTGGAATTTTTTGAGTGTTGGAAGCAGAACACTCTTAGGCTCTGAACCATTTGGTGGATTATTTTAACTTTTGGTTAAAATTTGACAGATGGAAAGTTATCGATTAACCCTGCTCTCCGAGCATGGTTATTTCTGACAGACAAGAAGTTAAATTTTGACGCCCATGGCTCAAAAACCGGTCGATCGACAGCACGGGGATTTTCGAACATAGAAAATAACTTTCGAAATGTCACTTTTAACCACGAGTTAAATTTAACTCGGCAAATGGTTCACACCCTTAGAGCGAATTCGTTTATTATTCAGTTCCAACCTGGATCGGGTATCAAGATTGGGTCTGCTTGTTTTCTGACAAACGTCAGTTTGCTCGTTTGTTTTTAAAACCTAGCTCAGGTTGAGGTTCGCACTGAAAAATAGTTCGGTTTCGCACTGGGTTGGAACTGGTTCCAACCCCGATAATAAACGAATTCGCTATTAGGCTCTGAACCATTTGGCGATTTTTTTAACTTTTGGTTAAAATTTGACAGATGAAAAGTTATCGATTAACCCTGCTCTCCGAGCATGGTTAGTTCTGACAGACAAGAAGTTAAATTTTGGCAACCGTGGCTCGAAAACCGGTCGATCGATAGCACGGGGATTTTCGAACATGGAAAATAACTTTCGAAGTGTCACTTTTAACCACGAGTTAAATTTAACTCAGCAAATGGTTCACAGCCTTAATCGATGTTATAATAAGAGTCCCGCGAAGAGAAAATGTTGCGAACTGTTTGTGATTTATTTATTTCGTCAGAGTAAACGGCAACCAGATTTTTTGGGTTAGCATCGGATGACTTTCATTCAGAAGCGAAAAATTTCATGTCGATAACGGAGCTTCTGGGAGACAAAAACAATTGTAGAACCTGAAAAATGTTCGAACAAATGCTTGGTATAACTTATAAATACCACAATGTTCTAAATTAAGCAAAGTAATGTTTTTAATCTAAAATTTCTAAAATATTGTCAGTAATGAATGCAATACTTGTAGTTCACTGGCTGTGGGAACAATGTTTATTCACTTTGCTTGTTTGGTACCGCGCTTGACAGTTCGATTGGTACTTCTGGCTTCACTCTTGGCGCGACTCTTATTATACCATACCTCTGCTCTTAATGTGCGTCACGCGATCATCTGTTTACTAGGCAGCAACCATTGTGTGGTCCTCCTCATTGTTCTTCATCAGCAGTTCTTTCGGTCGATGCGTCGTCGACTTTGGAAAGCAACCGTTCCATGATGAATGTGTGACTGCTGACCACGTTTTGAGTCCATTGCTGCAATGGAAGCGCCCTGACCCCCGTTGGCGAATCTGCCATACAATGAAACCACTGGAAGCGGCTCCCGTTCTGGTGGAGGAGGCTTACTGGATAGCGGAAGATAAAATGTTTATTGTGTTGTACCTTTTGACTATAGTCTTAAGATGTATTGTATAGTGAACAGGAATCCGGCTCTGTAAAGTTAATTCGGTTGAGCCTTATCAAATAAATTAATAAACAAACAAAAAAACTGCAAACAATGCATTTTTTCCTTGATTTGTTTTCCGTCGATCTTGTTTTCCGTGCTGAGCACCAATGCTACCGACGCCAGGGAGGCAGCTCCCACACCTGGACCCTACCTATCGACCCATCAACTCATGAACCGGAATGTGTTCGCAGCTGAATTATTAACGAAAGAGAAAGTCGATGAAGAAAATCGATCAAAGTCACTTACACCCCTTTCCATATAAGCCCTTCGTATGTAACCTGTAAAAGTCGATTTAAAATGGTGAAATTATAATTAATTTCAATTAATTAATAATTATGAAAGTTCCAGAAAAGTCTACTGTAGTCAACGAGGGGGGAGCGAGTTGTTAAAAAGCATAACATTTTGGACTACGTGAATTGTGAACATTCTCTTGCCAGAGCTATACAATTGATTTACCATCATTGTCAACACACTTTGCAGTCTTCCAAACACATTTTTTCCCCCATTGAAAGATGACATTATAAAATCAGGATAGCAAATTCAATTAATTACGCCCATTATCGCATGTACCGGGATCACCAACAGCAACAGCACAATACAGGTCATTAATGAACTATACAAGCCCATCTATAATTGAATTTTATTTGCCTTATCGAAGCTTCGTTCCGTTGAGCGAAAACCACGGATCTAATTAATATCACGCATTAATAGTGAATTCACCCACACGCACACACAAACACTCATACAATCAACACGGGATAGAAATGGAGCAATTTAAAACCTATATCTAGCCAAATGTATTATCCAACCGTCAAATTAGGTTTCCCTTGCCTTTAATCTATTAAAGCCACACCACCAACCCAATATCTGCGAAGAACTTCGATGCGTCCAACCGTAGGTTCGCATTGCGGCTGAGTTGCATTGGCGAAAAGTTACAGTTAATTTAATTTCCATTTAAAAGCTTTTGTCCTGGGCATACAGGATAAATGCATTAAATTCAATTATCAACGTATGGTAGATGCAGTCCGGCGCTCGTACGTGTACTGAAGGACAACCTTCGTTGGAGGGAAAGACGGTCATCAGTTAGCCAAAACCAACAGTTTCAAATATAGTATTTTATATTTTAAAGATTTTCTTCCATACGACGAGCCATACAACATTACTTCAACTAAAAAAACTCGTAAGACAGTTATATAAAGTGTATAAGTCGAGTAAACGATTTCTATGAACAGATTTTTTTTTGCTTTCCAGTTCGTTCCCTGCTTATTCATTACATTATTGAATTATTTCATCTAGGTTAGCTCCTTTTACTCGATTCACTTCTCAGTATCTTAGACACCCTAACACAAACTCAGTTCCACTGTGTGTTCTTCGCATAAAGAAGAAATTCCCTCCTCTAATGACTTGCTATTAGTCTGCTGCCCTTTGCTAGTTCACTTCTTTACTATTACCAACATCAACATCAACCTCGCTAATATACAAACCGCCGTAAGTAGAAGAAACATTTGCTAATTCTTGATGTTTCCCAGCTTCCATCAGCAAGACGGGTCGCCGTTTCGCGTTCGTTTTCATCAGAAGGTTCTCAAATCGAATTAATAAAAAATACTCTATCACACGGACACGGCGTCTAATATTCCTTCCCTAGCAGTCATACTTATCGTACTGTGACGGCCGTGTTTTTCTTTTATCTAAACCAATACCTACCAGAATCAATCCCTCGAGAATCAATTCTACGATGCATTTCGTGCTTATTTATCTAGCTGAATGTGTGCCGCTAAGGATACCTTAGTTGTGTCGCCGTGGGTGTCTCCCCTGGGTCCTCCGCTCTAGGCAATGATGTCGGACTTTTTTCGCATCTCGCCAAACAGGAACGAACAGGTTCGATCGATCAGGTAGGCAAGCAGCATGTCCGCCACCAGAACACCGACAAGAATCTTTCGGAACTGTATAAACATGAGGGTAAGTATATTGGTCAGCCTGCGTACAAGGCAATACTTACATCCGGTTCGAAGTCTATCACTTCAAAGGTCGACAGCAGATCCGGCACGATGCCCAACGCCAGACAGAGGACAATGGTACTGGACGTAAAGATTGCATACGACAGCAATCGATTCTCCCGCATGCTCTCCATGAACGGATGACCCTTGTAGTTGACGGCCACCGTTGCGATCTGCATCGTCACGCTTATGATGTAGACCGTACTGTTGACAATGTTCGGGACGAACTCCTCCTTTTCGTCCGGTTCCATGTCCAGATTGAGCTTAATTTTGCCTTCCCTGGAAGAGAAAAGGACACGTGGTTGAAAATCCCTGTTCCCCATGTGTGTTACTGAACTCTCTGAAGACTCACCTAGGAGGCGATCGCGCATTGGCTTCGTGCACCAGGTAGATCAGTGCCGTAAAGTGCACCGCAAACTGCGCCAATATCGTCGTCACCGAGTACAGATTGAAGATGTTCGGCAGTGGCGCTTGTTTCGACAGCACTTTGAGCGGTTTCGAGCGGGTGATGAAGAGGAAACAGGCCGCCGTCAGCAAACCGTGCAACGTCAGCTGGGTGTCGCTGTTCTTCACGCCGTCGATGTACAGCACCGACTGGCAGTAGGCAGAGATCAAGGCATTCAGGGCCAGAATCTTGAACATTTGGAGCGTCGTTACCAGCGTGCAGCGGCCCTGCTTGATGATGTGGCAAACTGGAGGGGGATTATTGAAATGGATTATCAACACATTAAATAAGAGTTGTTAACAGTATATAATAGGTAGGTAGCAGATTGCGTTTTGATCGTCATTTGATAAGCAGGGTGGCAACTGAATTTCCATTTAAATTCCAGGTTTTTCCCGGTTTTCCCTGGATTTGCAAATCATGTTTTCATTAAACAATTGAATTTGCCTTATGACGAAGACTACAAATCAAGAAGACTGGCAACTCTGCCAAAAATCAGGAGACAGTAACGGCAACGCCTCTTCTGAGCAAAAGTGGAACCTGTGTATGATGGTGTGTGTTAATTCACTAGTGCATTCACACACATAGGTAGAAATAAATAACTGTCAATTGTTGGTTTTGTTATGGATTGTCGTTAAAAATGAAACGTTTTTTTCTTTGCTTTATGCTGACAACGAGTAAAATTCCAGCTGAAATTGAACAGATGGGTAATTAAATCTGTTTTAAATATAAAAACTATGGCAATGATGCCATTCACAATGATGGTGGGACCTTCCTCGATCATTAGTTTGCTATCTCAGAATTATCTTCCACTTTTCCTAAGCCCTTTAGTGATGCATTTATGGGCATTCGTATGGTGCATTAGTAAAATGCATGTCCGTTCCGCACGGCTCTGACACCTGGCCACGGTGGGTGGTTTAAGTTGTGACGCTCGGCAACTAGGCACAGTACTCGCTGACCATTTGAATGTCACTGGCCAATCCGACACTGTTGTTATCATTATCTGGAAGGGGTCGGTCGATTCCAAGAATTGTTAAAGCATACAGAGGATCACTATCCGGTGGTTTCATGTTCTGACCAGGGCCCAACAAAGTCATTTTCAATCGAAAATCGTTAAGCGACGACGAGACTGGCAACCATCACTTTCAATTGAAAGTCATTCTGTCTTCTCTTCGAGCAGATCCCCTTCAACATCAACAGAACCACTTTCGATCAGTTTTCGTCCTGTTTGTTTTGGCTAGACTCGTGTTCATTTCGTCTTTTATTGTCAAATGAACTTACTTTCGCATTGAAGCGAAGATGTTCAATCCAAATTCGACTTTTGTGAATGTTCACTCGGTTAATTTAAGCACATGCGCATAAATCTGTGCACGTGAATGTCAAATTTATCACACATGACATGGTTTGTTTACCCATCAATATGGGTATTTTGGGAATCGGGGTGACGTCTAGAGGCCGGAAATTGATATCCGACGACATTTTAAAAATCCATGATGGCAGCTTCCGATTTCCGAGAAAAGGCGGCAAACACTAATGCCGACCCATCAACATGGAATCGGGGTGACGTCTAGAGATAGGAAATAAATATGCGACGCCATTCTTAAATCCAAGATGGTGGTCTCCATTTCAGAAAAGTGGAAAATACTGTAAAATACCCTCAATATGGGTATTTCTGGAATCGCGATGACGTCTAGAGAATGAAAATCGATGTCCGATGCCGATGAAATTCAAGATAGCGTCGAATGTCCATTTTCAGCATCCCACGTCGTCTTCAATCCGAAAATAACCAGATCTTAGGGTGTTTGACACTTTTTCTGAAACCCGATGGCCAACATATTGGATTGCAAATTGATGTTGGATATCGTTTTTCAGCATCTACGTGTTATCCCTGTTCGATAAATACCCATACTGGAGGATATTTGAAACTTTTTATCAAACCCGATGGCTGCCATCTTGGATTCCAAGCATGCATGATTGACCGCCCACGGTTGCTGCTCTGTTATTACCAGATCAGCTGCAATTACACAGAGAACCAACAGATGATGTTTGGGACTAACATTCATCTTCAATGTGTAAGAACTGGAGATCTAATATTTAGCAATACCAGCGCCGGCCGTGTCCGAATGCAGGTCAACTAGGGAATGGAAAGGAATGTGTTGACGTGGTACTCGCTGTGAAGGAAACCGAGAAATCCTCTGCGCTTCCACGAGAAATCACTGGGATGTTGGATGTGGGGAAAGGTTGCACACGCACACGCAGGGATCGTTTTTGGTAGAGCGAATATAATACACAAACACACACACACACACACACGCGCGCGCACTCATCCAATTTCTATTTTTAGATCAGGACCAACACTGTGGTAAGTGATGCGATCGGTGTTAAAGAAGAATTTGTTTTCATTAAAATCTAGTGGGTATAGAATAAGGCAAAGTGAAAAATTGCAAGGAAGGGGACGGGCCTGGGATTGAACTCCCGACCTTCTGCTCAGTAAGCAGAAACGGTAACCACTGAGCTACCGAGCCTCGTCACTGCCATCTTGGATTCCAAAATGGCGTCGAATATCAATTTACGGCATCTACGCGTCATCCACGTTCCGAAAATACCCATATCTCAGGGCATTTGACTGAGCCCAATGTCCGCCATATTGGATTCCAAAATGGCGACTGACATCGATTTTTGGAACCTTCGCGTCGTCTTTATTCTGAAAATACCCATATTGTAGGGCATTTGAGACTTTTCCGGACTTTACTTAATTTCGTTAATTTAATTTTCGCTTAACCCCGAATTGAAGTGAAAGTGGAAAAAACGAAGGAAGTAGTTTTTGAGTCATTCATTTGCGTCAATTGAAACAAGTCTTTGCTTCAAATGAAATGAACTGACGCACTTGACGAACGAAACAAGCGATAGTCAAGACATGTTTGACAGGAGGAATGTTCACCGTGACTCGACAACAAGAAACACAATGACTTACACGAAAATGATATTGCTCGAAGTGAAGCGATTCTGCGGAGAGTTAATTTTCTTTTATTTGTTTCGAAAATGCAGAACCCTGGTTCTGACAACATCTAAAATGGAAATATATTCTTTATCATATTTGGGATTATAGTCCTTTCATTTTCATTTTCTTCAACATTAGATCCTGCTACGCCTTCCGTTGGACCGTGATGTAGGTACAGGATCCTTCTTCTTTTTGAACCCTTGATTTTTTAGCAGCTTCCGAATGACGGTAGTTCACTCAATGGTGGTGGGAGCTGACAATTCCTTATAATTGATTGTTTACAACAGGTCAAATAAGTAATATTTCGGTTCCTCGTTCACAAGTAAAAGTTACTTTCACTAGGTATCGATCCGAGTTTCAATCCTCTACTTGATCCACTATGACAAGTTTTTCGGTTTAGAGTTTGGATAACCACCGGCTTGCTGGGATTAGAATACAAATTGCCGTGAAATTTTGTAGAGCAAAACAAAAACAACAACGACTGCCGTGTTATGATTATTTGTTTCGGTGACATTAGGTCACACACACACAGTTACTGTTTATGAGCAGTCTCACTAAAACTTGTGCTTCAAAGTTCCACCTTTGATTGAAAGAAGCGCTGTTATCAGTAACGTTTGACATTTGTATGGGAGAAGGGAACAGTTGCCAGTCTTCTTGATTTGTAGTCTTCGCTTATGATCAGTGTTGCAAAATATCAATATCAATACCTAGAAAATGCTGAATTTCTCTAGCCACCTGATGTCAGTATCAGGTCACACAGTTAGAATTTCAATGTCATTCGCCTTAATGTCAGTATTCAAATAACATAACATTGACATCGTAAAGGAACCACTGATATTCATGGGGCATGAAGTAGTTCGCCTCCTCGTGGTGTGCCCTGGAAACGTTAATTATCGAACCCAAGGGAGAGATATTGCGGCCAAACGAACTACAGCAGAGTAAGGACGCTGGAGCCCCATCCAGCTCGTCCCAGGAGGTCGATAAGCCCTGCACAAACCCTCGTTGTGCAAAGGCAGGAGTGACGCCGGGTTCTTAGAGTGCTTAGCATACGCAGCTGGTACACATCTATCTGTCCTGTTTGGCCCTGGACAGTTGGCTGGCTATCACGTCTGCTCTAGAACTCAGGCGAACAATTAACAGCGATCAACAAGAGGAAGGCCCTGCACAGTTGCTCACTGTGCAGTAGCGAGTGTCACATCTGATACACCACTAGTGATGCGCCATAGCGCAACCGGCCCCCTCCCATGATGTAATGCTTTCGGGCGGTTCCGGGGAGGGCAAGGGCCTAGAGCACAGGGTAAGGTTTAGTGGGTCGGGATTGCTACTTCTCCCATCCCCACACCCTGAGTTATCTTCTCAGGTGTCTTGGAGCAGATTCACCCTGTATAAAAAAGGGGGGCAGGGTAGAGAACTACTTCGGCCTAATCACCCATTTTGGGTCAAGTCAAGTCAATTATGCGTTTGGTACGATACTTTAGTTAATACGCTACGGAACGAAGTCAATGTGAACGCGTGATATGAAGGTTTGCATCCATTATTCTTAAAAACAAAAGAAGCGCTCGGACCGAATCAATTTTTATCTTCATCCGATAGGCCGAAGTGAATTCATTGTCGTTTCAATGGTGTTTCAATGCGTTAGGCCGAGTTAAGAATCCGTAGGCCGAGTTTGGCGTCAAGAAGCAGTGTTAGACTTTTGATAATATCTCAACGATTGGTTTATCTTTAACAAATCTTACGGTACATACGGAAAGCTAAATAAACTTGGAAGCCATCAGTAATAATTACATTCCATTTGGTGCTAAACTGCGCTAGATTAAGAAATACTAAGAGCGGGTTGTGCTTAATAGGCCGGAAATGGGGTAGTTAACCCCTAAGTTACTTTAGCATATTGTGCCAATAACTGTAATTGAAGTTATTCGCAACATTACGTGCTGTTTGACTGTATATTCAGGAACATCCTCTTATTGAATATAATTAGTAGGAATTCAGACCAGCAGTTCACTTATAGATCTAAATACGAAATGCAGATTCTAGGGTGGGCTCAAGAGAAAGAGGCAGTTATTCAGACCCCATTAGCACCCTTAATTCAATTAATGACGCAACTCACAGAAAGCAAACTATAGAACACAGGTAACAAATTGATGCTTAACAAGTGTTCTTTCAACGATTTTAATTCAGGCTTAGTTTTAATAATTGTTGTACATAGACCACTTTAACCTTTGTTCAGCTTTTAAACATCTAAATCTGGT